ATTTCACAAATAATATACTAAAAAGATATTAGGGGATATATTTACAGCACATATAACTACATATATAGAAATACCATCTGCCACACCTGTCTATATATGGTTGTGTGTATAGTACTGTTTGCCTGCTCATACCTGCTCATTTTGCCTGTCTGCCTATGTATTCACTCATATATGGATATCTCTTATTTCTAATAATTGTAGGATTGTGTATGTGATGGTATTTACCAATGTTGTCTTTAACTTTTGCACACTTCTCCGTATCTTCCTTTTCCATAACGATATTGTATTGTTCACCTCCTAATTGTGTATTGCCATTCCCTTCACCCAAATAACTACCTGTGTGTTATGTGTTGTTATTAGTTGTTGTTGGGTGCTGCCAAGTCTGTTCCAGCTCACAGAGATACTGTGTACAGCAGAACAAAACACTGCCTGGTCCTGCACTATCCCCAGAATCGTTGCCATGCTAGAGCCCATTGTTGGAGCCACTGTACAGTCATCTCATTGGAGGTCTTCCCCTTTTTCACTGACTCGCTATTTTATCAGCTATGATATCCTTTTCCAGGGCTTGGACCCTTCTGACAAGATGACCAAAGTGTGAAATAAATCTGGCCATTCTTGCTTCTAAGGAGCATTCCTCCTATAATTCCCTAAGACAGGTTTGTTTGTCCTTGGTATGTTCTGTACTCAGCCAATATCATAATTCAAATCCATCAATTTTTCTGCAGTCTTCCTTATTTTTTTCCATTTCATAGGCAACCTCTCCTTGAGTTTCTGAGGTGGTAGCGCTACCCAACCTTCTTTCTGAGGAGTGGCTGGTGGGTTTGAACTGCCAGCCTTCTGGTTAGCAGTCAGATGCCTTGGGCACTATGCCACCAGAGCTCCTCGCGTGCATATTACATTATTGAAAACAACCATGGTTAGGTCAGGCACATTTTAGTCTCCAAAGTGACATCTTTGCTCTTTTAACACTTAAATACTTTCAATTTGCTGTCTTTTCAGCAGATTTGCCCATGGACACTGATTGTGAAACCAAGTAAAATGAAATCCTTGACAACTTTAATCTTTTCTCCATTTATCATGACGTTGCTTATTGGTCCAGTTGTGAGGACTTTTGTTTTCTTTATGTTGAGGTATAATCCATACTGAAAGCTATAGTCTTTGATCCTCATTAGTAAGTGTTTCAAGTCTTCTTCACTTTCAGCAAGCAAGGTTGTGCCATCTGCATATCTCAGGTTGTTAGTGAGTCTTCTTCCAATCCTGATGCTGCATTCTTCTTCATATATTCCAGCTTCATGGACTGTTTCCCAGCATACAGATTGAGTAAGTGTGGTGAAAGGGTACAACCCTGATGCACACCTCTCCTGATTTTAAGCTATTCAATATCCTTTTGTTCTGTTCAACGACTGCCTCTTGGTCTATGTACAGGTTTTTTATGGGCACAATTAAGTTTTCTGGAAATCCAGTTCTTTGAAATGTTATCTGTAATTTCTTATGATCCACACAGTCAAATGCCTTTGTATGGTTGATACAACATAGTTAAATATCTTTCTGGTGTTCTTTCATCCAAGATCCATTTGACATCAGCAAGGATATCCCTCCGTCCATGTCCTCTTCTGAATCTAGTTCAAATTTTTGACAATTTCCTCTCAATATATTGCTGAAACCCTTCTTTTATTTTCAGCAAAATTTTACTTGCATGTGATATTAATGATATTGT